TAGACAACGAATGATTGACTTTGAAATATAATCAAGAAATCAGGGAGTACTTGATTATAGATTTTTTTTTATTTTGTTTTTTTTTTTATCCTCTACAGATTGTACGCAACTGGTATCTTGGGTAATGCGGCAGCGCCGCACGGTCGCGCAGTTCGGGCGTTTTTTTTTTTTATTGTTTTTATTGTGCATTCATGGAACTGAAAGTAGAGCAGCACGGGCTGGCAGGGTTTCGGTTACGTGAAGGGTCTAACTCACACACAGAAACTGCAGTGGCAGCCAAACAAGTGGCAGGTTAACAAGTTGTCATACACAAGCTGCATGTTGGCAAACAGCAGCCAACCAAAATCACAAAAAACTTTCCACCCAACGATTGACAATCAATCCGCCCGCCATTCGACATGGCCATGCCCCAAATGGTTGTGCAATTGTTGTCCAAAGTTATTTCTTGTTGCCTTTTGTCGTCTTTTGTCGCCTGTTTATTTGAGGGGCGGGCAAGGACTAGGACTGCTTTACGTTGCCAAATTGTTTGCTAATTGTTTGGGAAGACCTTTTCGTTAGCTTTTAGCTTAATTAAAGACAGAAACTTGCCTTGGCTTTGTGTCTGATTCTAGTCTCCAATCCAATCCACTCTCCACTCCACTCTCCACTCTCCAGTCTCTGCCATCAATATGTCACATTTTGCAGGTACTTTTGAGGCATTGAATTTTCATTACATTTCGTATTAATTAAATGAAAGCAACTTGATTAGTGGGAAGGGGGGCGGCGGCCGCCACCAGCAGTTCTCTCATCCAAGAGGTCATCAACAAAAGCTGTGAAAACCCTTAAAATTAAATACAATTTACCCACAAAATCGCACTCATGGCACGAACTTTCAGGGGTTCCATTGAAACCACAATGGGACCTCAAAATAGGAATAGATGTGAATGGTTCAAAAGGGAAGGTTCCCCCTAAAAATAGAACTGGGTTTTCAGATTGAAAGACTTTTAATTCCAAATAATATTCCATGGAATTTCCACGCCGCACTTTCTCCACCTATTTTTCAAACTATGACCGCAACAGTAGTCCCTTTAAAAAGGATAAATATGGAGAGTTATCGGTTTGATTCGCCCTACCCCAAAAGGTAGCGATATCCGCGGTGTTGTCAACGTGCATTCAGCCATCGAATTCTATGGAATTCTTCATGCCAATTCTCTCAACATCCAACGCTCAAACGCAGAACCCTGTGGGGCGCTCAGCTCTCTGTTGCTTGTGGCTTGGTGGCATCTCTCTTTCTCTTGCCCCATATATTCACACTTTTCGTGTTGCTCACTTGCTGTGGCTTCCGTTTCCGTTTTCGTTTCCGTTTTCGTTTCTGTGGTGTTTTTATGCTTAATATATTTACATCTACATGCCATCTCGACCACAGCTTTCCTTCAGTCACGTGTTATCTTCCACCTGCCACACGGTAAAAGCAAAATGCTTCTCATGCAGCATTACGCTGCGCTCGCTCGCCACTTTATTCGTAATTGTAAACTAATTGTGTTTTTGCATTATTAAAAAGTCACTCGCATTAATGTGCAACACCATATTCTCCTCGATGGCCACAGCTCGTGCTATTTATGGACTCGGCTGGACTGTACTGGAACCTTGACACGGATTAAAGGGATGCATAAATGTGGCATGAAACAGAATAAACCATAAATTAACCAAGAACCAGCCAAACCTATCCAAACAATTGCCCAGCACTCCTGCCGGATTTCATTTATGTGTGGACCGATGTGCGCTGTCGCATGACGCGTAATTTAGTCAGAAAATGGCATGAGAGATGTTTCAATCCTGAACCAATGAGTCGATGCCACAGCTACATGATTGTCAACTATCTAACTTGCCTTTCAATGAATCAATCAAAGCTGCTTCTGCTGCAGCTTGTTGCATAAGCAATAAATAAACCCCCTCTGGCTCCATTACGGCTCTGGCTCTGGTTACGCATGGACTTGGCTCTGGGCATATTGACCATTTGTGTATCAAACATCAAAAATCCTATTCATCTTTCACCCACTCGTAGCGGCCCCTCGAAAAGCCCAACCAAAAATAAAAGCTGTGCGCTAAGCTTTCGTTGACTTGGCTGAAAAGCTTTCATGAGCTGTGCTGTGACTCTCAAACTGTGACAGCTTTCGGCCAGATATACCAAATGACTTTTGGTGTCGGCTGTGCGCCCTGTGGTGGCTTTCTGGTTGGCTTTAACATTCCAACAGCAACATTGGAAGGTTGCGCGCCTGCTGCTTGGAATCTGCTGTCAGGGTTACCTCCCGGCCCCATAGATAACCGATAACCTTTACCGAATGTGTGGAGTCGACACTCGATTTATTCCAGTATTTGTTCCAATTTCGTTGAGTTCTTGAGATAAGGTAGCAGTGGCCTCTCTTGACATTTCCAAAAAAAAAAATATATATATATATGTACATTTATTTGTATATTTACTTCGAGGTAATGTGTCCCAAATACGAACACAATATAGGGTCATAGAACCATAGAACCATAGAACCATACAGCTTTATAGCTGATAGAGATAGTCGCAACCGGTCGAATATTTCGGCAACCAAATAATTGGGTTTTTCGAGTATTTTTAGCCGTACAGTTTATCAACAACGGAAGCTGTGGCGATTCGCAACAGGCGCCACTACTCCGGACATATGCTGGAAACTGGATTCTGGATTCACGATTCTCGATTCTGGATTCTCTGGATTCTGTGTGGAAGGGTGTGAGGGCACACAAAAATCGCAACGTGTCCATTGGTCGACAGCGCTATCCACACGAGAGCCACATTGGGTGTTCGCCTCCAAGTCCGGCTGGCCCGTTCGACGCATGCGTCGATTTTGTGATGTCAACGGGTCACCGGCGCCAATGGGAAGCCCGCAATGCTCTGGGTGTCTGCATGTGTTCCGTGGTGTGCTGTGGGGTGTCAACTGTATTCACACCCGGCCAAGGCTAAACGCCCAAAATTTCGATCAGTTTTCGGACATTTCTGAAAACAATTTGAAATGAAAACTCAATATTAAATTAAAATTAAGTATTTTATTGGTATTTTAATTTTAATTAATTATATAATTTTATTTAAAACAACAATTAAATTCTCCATAGAAGTATTGCTCGTGAAAATATTTAATCTTTTGATTTTCTCCACAGATTACATGAAAGTTCACGTTTAAATAGGCCTATTCTGTCCGAATTACCATCCCAAAATAATATTTTAATATTAATTAAATTAATATATTTATCTATGAATATTGTACCAATTCACTTATGGAAACTTTTTTTTGGGATATAAAACATTTATTTGGAAACAATTTGATATGCAACTTATAGCCCCAATGACCCATCTTTCCACATGCAACACAGTTTCCCGCCATAGTCCGCCGTCTTCGGTTCATCAGTCTGTTGTTCTTCAAAAATACTGCGGATGCGTACCGAGAAATAACGATAAAACACACACCAGATATTTTGGGATCGGTCAGAAAGTCGGAAAATGTGAAATGCCCCAACAGCTGCACACATTGCGGATGCATTCACATTTGAATTTTGCATCTTTTTTGTGGGATTAACAACCGTCGCTGACTGTACCACTATCCCTGTCCGCCTGTTTTTACGTACAGTCTCGCAGACCCATTTCTGATCTCCTGATAATTAAAAAACTTGATAAACAGACAATTGAATTTTCATATTTCCAGATTTTAAATAATAATTAATAAATTTAATCGGTCAATAGCATATTTTGGAAACTGATACAAAATCAGAATTTCCTTTAATATTATTGTTGATTGCAATTTGAATTAACGATCTTTTTCGTGTTTTGGATTACTAAGGTTTACATATGTGAAAATTATGGAGTTTCTGAATTTCTCTAATTATAATTGGAATAATCGATGATTATCTAGTTTTTTAAATTATTTGTATCGATATTTCTTAAATCACAAATATGTACATACGCCTAGAATTAGGACAAAATAATGACATTTTCATCTTGCTTTTGTGCTTTTCATGAGAGAGCGTTTCTTTTTCGGTTTTATTCGTTTTTCAGTGTGAAATGCAAAGCGGGCGTCCCAAACCGGCTGCAAAAGCAAACGCAAACAAAGAGAAGGGATAGGATTTGGGTGTCGAAGCTTTTGATACTCCTTGCCGAGTGTCATCATTGCTTTGGTCATGAGATTACCATTAAGTTCTTGCGGGATGGGTAAGCCAGTTATAGAAACTAAATGATTTGAGCGAACAAAAAAGTTGTACAACAATTCAGTGCCATGTAATCTACGATCTCTGTGGCACTTCCTTCCCTCGAATGTGTCAAACATCTGCTCAGAATCAGCATACCCTCCTCGGACAAAAGGTATCAGCAAAAGGTGAGAAATGAGTAGAGAGCAGTGTCGGCTCTCGCGGAGTCTCGGCTTCTATTCTCTCTCTTGCTCTTTTTATCAGTTGACCTACAGAGTCAGTGTGTGGGATGGAGGCGGCGAGGGACTGGTTGCGGTGCTCGCCTGAAGCTTCTCTACCTCCCGCACACGAAGCCAGCCGAAATGTGCATCCTGCTCTTGATAAAGAGCAAGCGCGATAAACTTTGCGTGCGCGGACACGCACGCAGACACACACACACAGAGCGAGAGAGTGAGAGAGCGAGACAGAAAGAGAGTGAGCGAAACCAGCGGCAGAGGGAGAGAGGGAGTTGCATTCGACGCAACAGGCTTGCAAATGCATGCGTTGGCCGCGCTGCCGCTGTACCCACTTAAGCGCCGTTAGGCTTTCAGGCACGGGCACAGGCACAACAACAATAACAAGAGCTCGCAAAAGTTCGCTGCCAGCCAGCCGGCCTCTGCCCTGCCTCATCCCATGCTCTGCTGTGGCTGTTCCATTCCATGCTTCGGTTTCGGACCTGGTCTCGTGTTTCGTCGTGTCTTGGCGGCGTCTTCGGCGGCAGAGCGATGGCGGCGTCGCCAACGTTGGCGTCGGGGCTCTGGCGTTGGCAGCGGTGTCGCAGGCACAGGCCCCAAAGTTCTTACACATTCGGTTGCGCGCCATCGTTCGAGGCGGTCGCACACTTTTCGGTGCGTTCTCTCTCTCCCCCTCCCTCTCTCTCTGACACTCACACAAAACACACACAGACTCTGAGACCCTTTCTGCCACGGAGGTGCAACAACACACTCTCCACAGAATATCCACCAAGTTATATATTTTTTTCAAGTGCCCCCCACAAAGTGCTCCTCCGAAAACCTCTCCAAAAGGATAAATCTCGAAAGAAACAATCGTATACAATTATTTGTTTGTTTGTAGTCCGATTCTCTCGTCAAATTTTCTAGAGATTTTCTTCCTAGTTTTTTTTTGTATTATTTAATTTTTTTATCAAGAAACGCGTTAAAAAATAAAAGAAGAAAAAAACATAAAGTGGAACCGGGCAACCGGATTTCGGGATCTCTGTTGCGGGATCGGGGTGTAAAAATCAACGCGCGCGAAATATAAAACAAAAAGGAAAAAAAAAACCAAAAAGTGGCACAAAAAAAAAATAATAAAAAAAAAAACAACACGAAAACCTCTGCCAATATAGGATACCCTTAAGTGGGGCTCCGATCCGGCTCCCGAGATCCGAGCTTTTTTCTAAGGAACTTCGTGTTCCTCTTGCTCTTACCTCACCCATCTCTGTCTCCCTCTCCCGCTTTTGGCTCTTTTTCGGGGCTTCCATTTCATGACATTTTTTCGCTGATTCGGGAATATATTTCTCCTCTCCTGCCCCCGGTCACTATCCCTGTCCATTCTCTTTTCTGACGATCAGCACTTTTTTTCCACCTCTTTCTTAACACTCTTTCCTGGCTCTATCTCTGTTTTTTCAGTGCCATAACCGTAAACCACTGTCTTCCTATCGTTTACCGTTTAACCCCATCAAAAATATCGAATATCGAACCGAAAACTGCCTTAAAACCACACACACACCACACAAGTACCTATAACCGTAAAAGCTGCCAAAAAACCAAAAAAAAAAAAAAACAAAAATTTATAAAGAACAAACCAAAGTAAAATCAAAGCCCCCCAAAAATTTAACGAAACCCCAAACAAGCGATGGGGTCATCCGGATCCCAGGCGTCCGGGATCATGACGGGACGGATGTCACTGCTGTTGCGCCTCCTAGCGGTGGCGGTAGTGATGAATGCCATCCACGTGCCGCTGACAAATGCCAAGGTGAGTAAAGCTAACACGGAGGATACACAATCATCTTTCATCGTTCGATTCATTATGCCAAAAGCATTTTAAGAAAAACAAATTTAAAAAAAAAAGAAATTTGTTGTTCATTAATTGATTTGGAATATTTAAGAAAGGAGGAGATATCGTAAAGGCAGCAATGTGATATTTAAGAGCTACCCTTGGGGGATTGGGGTCAATTCAACAGAAGGATATACCTGAGATAATTGCTGAATGTTGAAGAATTTTTAAAACTCTTTGCTGCTCTACATTTGATTAGTTTTATTGGTAGGGGAAATCCTTTTCTTGAGACATGAAGAGAAACATAAATTACTATCTATTTAATAATATTTAAATCTGAAATCCCTTTTACTCCCACCAGTCTTCGAATCCAAAATCCCCATTTATTCCCAGCTATTCTCACCAAAAACTTCACGAATGAAAATGCCTTTTGGTTATCGAACGATTAAAACGATTAAAGTCCCCACCCCCCATTTCTCAGTTGTGTGCCTCCATTCGGTTGATGACACAACTTGGGGCTGCTCCCTCTGGCCGTCTCTGAATGTCGAATGTCGTGCCCCAAAACGAAGCGAATGAATCGAACGAACTTGAACTATTTTTCACATGACACACATACAAAAAAAGATTAGCATAAGCAACATTTATTGGTTGCATCTTTCCAGCACTCAAAAGTAGATTTGAAATTAGTTTTTCCCCCCGTCTTCGATCCTCATTTAAAACACATTAAAATGTTCGATGGAAATTAACATTAACAGAGGACTGAGATGAATTTCGGTATGTTGTTGGTGGGGATAATGTTAAAAGACCGGATTTGCTGGCGACAGAAAACAAAAACAAACAAAAGCTAAAATCTGGCGGCTTTGGCGGCTCTCTGGCCGATTGGGGGTCATCTAGAGGGGTTATCACTGTCCCCAAAATATTCCTAGTTTATTTTGCCAATTATGAATACGTTGATTGTTCTAATTTCTATCTATCTCTTGTTGGACTAAGGAGGGGCCTACGTCTTCGGAGGGGCTCTACGTCCATCGTCTAATGAGCCCCGCGCGATAATAGGCCACCGGCACCGGCTGCTTGCCTTATCACGGGGCATGTTAATGACATGTTGCCCGCCCCAGCAGACCCATAGATGTGCCCCTGCTGTCGTTTGGTTGTCTTGCAAATGAAATAATTTCTTAAATTAACATTCGAAATCATTTCAGTATATAATATATGTTCAATTATTTGATTCGTTGGGTCTTTCATTCACTTTCTGTCTATCGTTGTGGCTGTCGTCTGTTTTTGCTGTGGAGGTTTTTGCACCCAGGAAACTGTAGAGTTCAAGGGTATTGCTCGCTTCGACGATTGTAGAACCTCTCTGGAGAAGCAGAAGCCAGAATAATGTCTCACATCCATTCACATTTGTGGATCCATTTCGAGAGAAATTTGATAACTGAAAAGTCTTTATCCAAATTTGTATTCCAATGGGGGTTTATTTCCAGGATTGGCTCGACGAATATTTATTTATTTATTAGAGATCTTCAGATCGATTTGGTGATCTGCAGGTGTGGCCTCTACAACGCAGGGGCGGGGGCATCCTCATCCTTTCCCACTTTTCGATTTGTTTGTGTGTTTACTGTTTTCTTATTTTTAAATTTTTATCACATCGGAAGTTGCCTGTAAAATGAGGCCAAATTCTCATAAAGAGTTCTGTAATTCCATTTAATTCCATATAATTCCTTCTTTATAAAAAAAAAAAAAATATAATATCGCATGCCACGAATGCACTGCCACTGCCCCATTCCATGGCCTTATCACACACTTTGCTGCAAAAGGAAAAGCAAAAGCAAAGGCAAAGCCACAAGAGTATTTTAAATGGGGTCACTGACGACAGAAAGAGAGTCCAGCAGCAGGCAGGCAGGCAAAGCAGGCAGCAGTGTGCCATAGATAAGTGTCGCTGCAGCTCCATCCGCCAAGGCGTATGCGTATTGTGGGTCTATATCCCTCCCCATTACGTATACGAACAGGTGGCAAAACGATCCAGAACCGACAAGAGAAAGAAGTTTTACTTCTGCAGATCCCAAGGAACTTCCTTCCTTTCTTTTTTTGCTACCCTGAAACATTTGTGAATTACCATGTGAACACTACAGAACAGATCCCTTGTGCGTTCCATCTGTTGTTGCAGATTGGCCTGCCCCTTGCTCTTTCGCTCTCCCAATGCCCGCATGCCACTTGTCCGTCAAACAAACTGTCAAAATATTTGCATCATCAACAGATCCCCAAAATTAAATCACCAAACAAACAAAAAAATCAAAAGAAAACTAAAAGAGAAGAAGGCATACCCTTGCGCCAAAAGAGGGGCATTACGAATTTGTAAGAAGTGGGAAATGAGTGTATAAATAAGTGTCGCTGAAAGTAACTTAAATTTCTGAAAAGATTTTCCATGGATACCTATCTGCATCTGTACGATTTTTGATTCTGCCAAATTCTGCCGAATATATTTAATAGTTTAGGAAACTCTTTATCGATATCTGACATATCCATATAAATGTGTATCTTTCACAGTAGAGTATTTAAAGCTCTGTATCGTTTCCATTTTTTTGTCCCTCAGTCTCTTTTGCTTTTGCTTCTTCTGTTTTGTGCCCACACGGCTTTTGGTTTTGTTTGTTTGTGCAACATATGGACACAAGATGTTCGGACCATCAACATCTCGATCAACACATGCTGCTTGGTTGCTTGGTGTATTGCTTTATCCCTGCATGTGTGTGTGTGTAGTTAATGTTTCTGTATCTTTGTAGCCGTTGCCAACGGGAGCCCCCATCACACATCACAAATGCAATTTTCAATTTCAATGGAAAAAAAAGTCATGACAGCCATTTGTTTAAATATTATGCCATTCGGCGAGGGCGACTCCTCCGACTCCTCCCCTGTGCCCTCGCTGCCCGGTCTTGCTCTGCCACACCCTCTGCCTTTTTTTTTGTGCCACTTCAAACTCAAGTTCAGAGACATTCTATCTATCTGTGGAATTTGTTTATACATAGATGATTCAAGTGCCCAAGTGAGGTGTCACTGAAGTGTCTCCCTATCTCCCCGTCTCTCTCGCTATCCCCCCTGATGATTGGTTGATTGAATGATTGGCCCATAAGCTTCCGCCTTCAGCCTTCCAGGCAAATGCGATCGAACAGAGTTTCGGGGCCCATTAGTCATCCTCCTCCTCCTTCTAGAAGGAGTCACGTCGCTGGCCCTCGTCCAACAAGTGACGTAGACATTCACATTCCCTCCCCATGCATTTTGTAATACCCCCTTGCAACAGAGTGTAAGTGTATGTATGTGGAAGGGGGCATGGGGCACGGGGCGTGGAGCAAGGGGTGTGGCAGACTATGAAGCAAACGTTTAAAAATAGGTATAGATACAAGGGTACAAGGGGCAGCAAATAGAAAGATACAAGATACAAAAAAACACACAAAAAGGAAAGAGCATTGGAATTTCATGCTATTAAGAAGAGAAAGACAGGATAGAGGGGGGTAAAGACAGAGAGAGAGGGAGAGAAATTGTGTGAGAATGAGAGAAGAAATTGATACAACTATACTTTCTCGTTTGACATTTTTCCATCCTTTTGTAAGCTTATCTTATTTTTTTTTGTTTCCTACTTTTGTGGGAACTGGACTTATGGGTATGAAACGCACTCTGCATGCACCCGATCATCACCATCACTGAGAGAAATACTTGAGTGGATTTACCACATTTTGCTCTAATTATAATTATCGATAATTATCGATCGAATCGATTGCTTGCATTTCCTGATATCTGTTTGAATATCAACTCCAATAAGTAGCCTTCCTTTTCGCTGGTAATTTAATATTTGCATTCGAGAGCGATGTCTCTGTAAGTATCTCTTTATCTATGTATGTGTATCTATGGATTGTGTATCTGTATCTATGAGTGTAAATATATATCGTAAATTTGTGTTGAGTCTCGTGGCGGAGGAACAATAATTTTTGTTTAAATATTGCATTGCGTAAATGTTGAAAATAGAAAAAACTATCACCCCGATGGGAGCAGCAAACAGAAAACAGCAGCAGCAGCAGCCCCCAGACGCCACAGCACAGTGGAACGCAGTGGCAGTGGCAGTGGCACGGGGGCAGCAGGGGGAAAAACTGTCGCAATTTGCCTTCTGAGCTATTGCAAAATGCAGGAATGCCTCCGTCCATCCGTCCGCTCGTCCGTCCGTTCGTCTTTCAGTGTGTGGGATCATCATAGAACATGTAGAATATACATTTAACGTACTCTATTTTATATATATTCTATTGTGTCATCTCATCTCATCTACTACAAACAACACAAAATAAAACAAAACACAGTCCACATAAATGTGCATTTAAATTTTGTATTTAAGCAAATGTTTCTTTTTACGAGCGAAATGTGTGAAAAATACAAGTGAATCTTTTGGGTGGATTCGGTCGGGAGAGTAATTATATATATTTTATGTGCACTTGATATTCCGCTGGCGGATCGGATGGATGGCTCGGAGAAGGGTGCGGCATACCAGGCTCATTCCACATTCAGCGCAGAAGTCGCTGGGATCCCATAAATCGATGGATGATCGGAATCGCAGTGATCTGTGGAATCGGAAATAAGTTTTTGATCTGTGATTCAATTGATTCAATCTTCAAAACTAGTTAAAACAATGAAAATATATAAGAGATGTAAGGAATTCAGATACAAAATGAATGCAAGATCATTCCTATAATCGATATCACATATCTTTTCATGCAAGGATTGATACACTCATGGATTTATTTTCCATCTTTGGCTATACTTTTATGGCAAATCTCCTACCCCATTTCCAAGGGAAGACTCCCCCGAGACATGGATATTTCAGCTTTCAAATTGGTTTCCGTCTGCCATATCTATCGGTATGGATCGGATATTGAATGGCGCACACCCAACACAATCCACAGTGGTGGATCTTTCGATAAATAAATAAAAACTGGTTTGGCGCT